CGCGGCGGCTTACGCGCCGTATATATAGTAGCTGCAGTGCTGCGCCACCAAGCGCTCTGATTGGCGCGGCGCTGGCTACTCGAGTCGGTATATAAGCGGAGCGCTACGTATAGTGAGGAAGCTTTTGCTTGTGGGACTCCGACGTGACCGCGTCGGCAGTCCCGACTTCCGATACCCCGATAGTCCCGATTATTACGAAATATAAAACACATGTTCCTCGATATCGGCCTTAATTATTTAACTGCACGAGTAGCTCCTTCTAAAAACGATCATAATTAAAGCATATAGGAAAATAACTATTAATTTATTCAAATGAATGAAGTTCAAACAGCAAACAGTTTTATATATAGAAGCCGTCATTGCCGATTGTTTCGACTTGATCGTTTCTTTCGACTTCCGAATCTAACCGCCCCGGCAATCACATTCGTGAATTATCTTATTGCGCGCCGGTTATATATATTGGCATCTCGCTCTTTACTCCTAATCGTCCGCCGAAAACTGACACGGGCGATGAGGCGGTCTCTCTCCATGGTCCGCGCGCTCCCTATAGTCCCATTTCATGCGGCCACGCAGCGCGCTGGCCGCTGAGGCCGCCGAGTGCCGACGTCTTCTTCTTCTTTTCTTTTATTGGCGCCTGCTCCCGATCGGGGATAATCCGGCCAAAATGAGTGCCGACGTGACTACGTCGGAGTCCCACGGAGCAAAAATCTTTCCGTCGCGTAGCGTTCCGCTACTCCGCACGCCAAGCGCTCTGATTGGAGCGCGCTAACTACTCAAGTCGAGTATATAAGCAGAACGCTACATAATAGGAAGCTTTTTTCTTGTCGGACTCCGACGTGGTCGCGTCGGCACTCGGCAGTAGTAGTACGGACACGCACACATTTTATTTGGGATGTTAAACAGATGTGTACACTTTACATTAATATAAATTTACAGAATAATTTATAGAATACGTATGAAATTCAGAGATGCAATGGAAAAAATCAATTCCATATTCAGGACATGTTTATAAGCTATATATAGCGCGCCAACAAGTTTAAAATTCCATATAATACATATAATTCGTATATCTTTACCTCACTTTTATCAATAAATGCGCTTCATTATTTCTATTCCTGAGATTCTATAATATATGTAACATAAATTGTATCTATACATATATACAGTAACGTGAATTATATACTATTTATAGGCGCGTTCTGAATACGAACAAATATGTATATATAATGTTTATAGATTCGACATTAATTGTAATTACAGAAAGATGTATGTGCAAGCAGTTCTATTTTTTATCAACCCCGGTAAAACATTTTTTGTATATACGAACATATATAATAATACATATTGTATAAATATATATAAAGCGATATAATTATATATAATTAATAATAAATTAATAAATATATTTACTATTTTTGAAGAGAATTATTCGCTATTTATTAGCTAATTAATTTTCTAATCCCGCAATTTTTTGTTGATCAACCGTTAAGCAAGAAACGATGACTAACAAATCATGCTAATTTAAGTTTCAGAAACATATGTTCTGAATACGAAATTGGTCTTTTCCATTGCTTCCCATCTATTTTATTCATATGTATTTTGTACTATAAATTTGTATATAAATAATACACAGTTCAATTCAAGAAAATATATCGTGGATATGTTAGATCCGTGATTACATAGTTCAATGTGCACGCATTATGTATATATTATGATATACATACTATGTGCATATATTGTAGAAGCGCTTGTGTAGACGACGCGCGTGGATGTGATCTGCATCTAAAATGCGGCATGGCCTGTCCATTCTCAGGTTTTTCTCTCTTCTACCTAATATACATATTATACATATATAGTCTTCGGTTCTGTTCCATAACGAAAATAATTTCTTATATAAGAAATCAAAAATTAAAGAAAAGAATTAATTATTTTTTTAAAGACGTTTACCATCTAAGAAAACATGAATTATCCGATTATGTATATATATATAATCGGATAAACCATGTTTCCTTAAATGGTAAACGTCTTTAAAAAAAAAAATTAATTCTTTTCTTTTGCAATAAATTGAATAATTAAATTGAATAAATCGTTTGAGTTATCGACGGATTTGTCGGACACTTAGCGATTGTCGATCCTTGAACACAGAAATATATAATCCGGTAGTCTCGTCGTAACATCTTAGATGGCATCTCGCTCGTAATTTCACGTTGCTATGTATCCGTTGCTAGGTTATATTGATGTAAAGTTGACACAACTTGACAAGTGTTTAATCTGTTTATATCAAGAGCCTGACAGCTTTGATAGTTAACCGCGAATGTTACTTTCCACGATAAAACACGGTATTTGCTTTCTTGCTGCCGCGTCATGTGGAGCGATATAGAATAAAATTTTTATTTTATGAAAATGTGACCTTTCACCTTTTGTCTGTAAATTATCTTGTTAGGTTA